TCCTGGGCTGCAAAACCAATCAATCTCCTCCTTTTGCTGAGGAAAAAAAAATCTGCCTCTACATTTCTGACCCTCACAGTTAGTCCTGGTGGCAGGTAGTCACTGTTGTACCACAAGAGTCTTATCCCCATTTCCTTTCCTTAGCCCGGCCCCAACAGTTTGGAAATCATTCATCGCAAGTTCTGCTTATCCCTGCCCTGTCTGGAACTAGGCTCCCTCTTGAAAGCTTTGCAAGTCAGTTACTTCTTGCCTTTATAGCCCACGCCCCCCTTTTTGGGTCTAGGTAGTTTCCATCCCCACCCCAAGGTATTCCTGTCAGTTATAGGCTGAAGATGGGCTTACATGTTTTCTGTTGTGATGTTTCTGGCTATCACCCCCGCCCTCTAGTGTCTATTTCACAATGATAGGAAAGGGAGACCAAGATTCAAAAGACAGCCAAGCTGTCTCTTCCCCTTTCAAGCCATGCCTCAATCCCTGTATCCTGAAGCCCTGTTAGTCTAAGGTTCTGTGTACATCGTCATATACCTCTGTCCCACCTAGCCCATGCGAGCCTACCCAACCATTCTCCTGTCCGCCTTGTTCTTCTTTGTCCCCTTCCCTGTCTTATGTATTTATTGCCTGCCCCCCTCCAGCAGCTCCCAGGTATCTATTCCCTACTACGTGTTCTTTCTTCCCCTCCCTCCCTTCCCACCTCTCATCTCATACATACTGGTGATCAGCACTTATATAGAGATTTTTTTCCCCCATTTTGGGTGGGTTCTTTTTCTTAGTCTTTTTACAATAATGGTCTTATGCAGTATTTTTCCTTTTGTGACTGACTAATTTCACTCAGCATAATGTCCTCAAGGTTCATCCATGTTATGCGATGGCTTGCAGTTTCCTTGTTATTTTTCAAGGTAGCATGGTATTCCATTGTGTGCATGTACCACAGTTTGTTTATCCATTCTTCAATTGATGGCCATTTTGGTTGTCTCCTTTTTTTTGCTATTGTAAATAGTGCTACTACGAACATTGGTGTGCATATATCTACTCGTGTTATGGCTTGTATTTCTTATGGGTAAATACCAAGTAGAGGAATTGCTGGGTCAGAAGGTATTTCTATTTCCAACCATTCCTTTCCCTTCCCAGAGGTAACCACTATCCTAAGCATTGTTCTCATGAGTATTTTTTAACTTTCTCTTTATGTATCTTAACACTATATGGTATTGTTTTTGTGCATTTAAAATTTTTACATGAATGATTTCGTTATGTATATCCATATGAAACTTATTTTCATTTATTATTTAATGTTGTTTTTTGTATATTTGACTCTTTTCTGCCATAGTATTTTGTGCATTCTATTGGCCATTATTTTTCTTTGTTTCTTTTTCTCTTTTCATTTGTTGAATTGATATAATTTACTTCTTCCTTTTCAATTCCTCTGTCTTGTTTGGAAATAATCCATTTCTGTTCTATTGGTTCTTGTTGTTACATCCCATTGAGTCGATTCCAACTCATAACAATCCTATGAACAACAGAATGAAGTAAGTGCCTGGAGCACACCATCCTCACAGTCATTGCTGTGTTTGGGCTCATTGTTGCAGCTGTTGTGTCAGTCCATCTGCCTGTGGGTCTTCCTCATTTTTGCTGACCCTCTGCTTTACCAAGCATGGTATCCTCCAAGGACCAGTCCCTCCTGATGACATATATACCCAAAGTACATGAGATGAAGTCTTAACCATTCTTGCTTCTAAGGAGCATTCTATCTGTATTTCTTCTAAGATAGAGTTGTTCATTCTTCTGGAAGTCCATGGTATATTTAATATCTGTTGCCAACACCATAATTCAGAGGTATCAATTCTTCTTTGTTCTTTTTATTCATTGCCTAACTTTCCCATACAGATGAGGCAATTGAAAATACCATGGCTTAGGCTAGGTGCACCTTAGTCTTCAAAGTAACATCTTTGCTTTTAAACATGCTAAAGAAACTTTTTTGCAGCAGATTTGCCCCCATGTGGTTAGTCCTTTGATGTTTTTAACTGCTTCCATGGGCCTTAATTATAGATCCAAGTCAATTGAGATCCTTGACAACTTCAGTCTTTTCTGTTTATTTTAATGTTGTTTATTGGTCCAGTTTTGAGGATGTTTGTTTTCTTTATTTTGAGGTGTAATCCATTCTGAAGGCTGTAGACGTTGATCTCCATCAGTAAGTGCTATAAATCTTTGCTTTAGGCAATCAAGGTTGTGTCATCTGCATATTACAAGTTATTAATGATTCTTCCTCCAATCCTGAAGCCATATTCTTCATATAATCTAACTCCTAAGATTATTTCTCAGCATACAGATTGAGTAAGTATAGTCAAATGATACAACCCTGTTGCACAACTTTCCTGATTTTAAACCACACAGTATCTATCAATTGTGTTCTGTTCAATTGGTGACTGCCTCTTACGCTGTATAAAGGTTCTGCATGAGCACAATTAAATGTTCAGGAATTCTCATTCTTCACAATGTTACCCATAATTTGTATGATCCATCTGACATCAGCAATGGTATCCCTTGTTCCACATCCTCTTCTGAGTTTGGTGTGAATTTCTGGCAATTCCTGTCGATGTATTGCTGCAACCGTTTTTGAATTCTCTTCAACAGCATTTTAGTTGTGATATTAACGATATCATTAATACCACACTAGGTGCCATCGAGTTGGTACAAATTCATAGTGACCCTATGCACAACAGAACAAAACACTGCCCGGTCCTGGGCGAACCTCACAGTTGTTGCCATGCTTAACCCCATTGATGCTGCCATTTTGCCAATCC